AAGAGGCTGTGGTTCAATTCCCTTTCAGGTCACATGCCCAGGTTGTGGGCCAAATCCTCAGTTGGGAGCATGCAGGAGGCAGCCAACTGATGTTCTCTCTCATTGATGTTTCTATCTTTCTCTCCCTCTCCCTTCTTTTCTAAAACTAATAAAGAAAAAAATATATATCTCTTAAAAATAAAAAATTATATTCTAAACAGTATCCTATAAAAGTCAAAAACAACTCATAAACATTTATTTTTTACACCCCCAGACAGACTGCTCAGTTGGTTGGAGCATCATCCCATACACCAAAAGGTTGTTGGTTCAATTCCCAGTGAGGGCACATACCTACGCTGAAGGTTTGATCTCTGTTTGGGGCACATACAGGAGGCAACAGATGGATGTTTATCTCTCACAGCAATGCTTTTGTCTCTCCCTTCCTTCCTCTCTAAAATCAATTAAGAACATCATATCATTGGGTGAGAATTAAAAACATTTTATTTTTTACAAGTGATTTGTTTCTATAGATTTCTAAGTCTTAAAATAATAAGCAGAACTACATCTTTGTGAAATACACACTTAAAACAATAACTCAGAGTTGAAACTATACTTATGAGGATGCATTTAGGTTAATTTAATATTTGCATAATCGAAAACAGAGAAAAACAGGACTATCTTATCCACCTGATTAACACCTAAGAGAACTATAAAAATGATTAACAAATGGTTGTAAAGCAATCTATAAATACTAATGCCATTAAACTAATTATAGTCAATTAGTAAGATTTAATTGCTCTGACACTTAAAAATCTTCTATAAGGCACTGGCCTGTTTGTCTCAGTGGTTAGAGCGTCAGCCCGCAGACCAATGAATTGCAGGTTCAATTACAGTCAAGGGCACGTACCTCAGTTGCGGTTTGTCTCTGGCCCTGGTCGGGTTGTGCGGGAGGCAACCAGTCGATGTGGCTCCATCACATCAATGTTTCTATCTCTCTCTCTCCCTCCCTTCCACTCTATCTGATAATAAGTAGAAAATATCCTCAGGTGAGGAATAAAAATTTTAAAAAATCTTCTATATGTTAATTCATACAAATCCATCTAGAATCTTAGACTCAGAAAAGGAGAAAATGCAACGTTTACTGGTACAATTTCTACAAAAAAACTACACTTAAAAATATTTTTTACTTTAGGTATCTGCAAAGAACTAAAAGGAAATAGACACCAAAAAAGGTAGTTTTGCTATAAATTGGAATGCTCATTGACTTTTTACTATGTTGTTTGCCTTCATAGTTTAAAATATTTAAAATAAAATAAATATTTTATTTGACATAGCAACAGAAGTTAAAATGTGAGGGAGAAATACATTAAATATGTACTTTGACAAAAGGAAATGTGATAGGAAGAAACAATTTACTTTTAATACTAACACTGCCTGACATATTAGATGGTAGACAATAGTTGACTGACAGAATTAACTTCCTAATTTAGTATTTCTAACAACCCTGAAATCTGAGAGAGGCGATATTATAAGTACCAAATAAAGTATCAAATAGCTCTTTCCAGTGGGCCTTAGTAAAATAAATAAATAAATAAACTATCAATTAGTTTCATAAATACCTGCTATAAGGATATAACTTAACTCCTTACTTCCTTACTCCTTAAGAGCTAAGATTTGAGCTTTCAAAATCTGTCCTACCTTCCCATAACTATTTAAAAGGTTGAGAGATATACTCTCTCCAAACCATATGTCTGCAAAAATAAAAAGCTGGAAAATAGTCTCACCCTTACAAATCTTATGTATGTTTGGAATCTATCATATCCTATCTTGTGTTATAATCAATATGTATATGCTCATTTAACCATACTAGATTTCAAACCCACTGAGTGCAGAGTCAATTGTACCCATCTTTCTATGTATCTCAACAACTTAGTAAAGAGTCTTGATTAATACTCTGAACTTTCTGCAGACTCTGTCACCTAAAAAGAATTAAGGCTTGGTAATTAGTTGTAGCTTGGTTTAAAAACAAAATAAAAGCCTCTGAACTATTAGAAAAGTAGTGTTCTCTCTGCAGGGAAAATAGGGGAGGGTATGCACACTAAACTTGTCTGCTCAGTTAAGCACAAACCAGACCAAAAGACCTTTTCCCTTCAAAGGCCAGATTCCTTCCATCCAATTCAACAGTGTCTCTTAGTTAAGGACAGAGTCTGCCTCAGCTCACTTCTGAGGACCTGGAAAGGCTGAAATAATCTAGGGGACTGTCTAGTGGTCTGCAAGTACAGAAGAATAAAATCAAAGTTTAACCTGTGAGCTACGGGCCAGGTGAAAATCCTAGGAGGTAGACTCTAGAACCCTATTAAAGCCATGGAATCTAAGTCCTTTTCCTGAATTCAATCTACAACAAACCTCATACCAGAGTGACCTCAATGCAAACTCTGCAAATGCACCCTAAACTGACTCCTCACAAGTGAAAAGATGTTTTGGTCCTAAGGTGTAAATCATGTCAGTAACTTTCTGACATACTCCAAGTCATTTCCCTGTCCTATGAGTAGTAACAGCCCACAGAAGAGACAAATGGGCAGAGCATATGATCAATCAAGACAATTCAAAACTGAAAAGCCTATGTTTAAAAATGCACAGTAAAAAGATATAAGGGCCCTGGTAGGTGTGGTTCAATTGGTTGGAGCATCATCCCATGCACCAAAACCCTACAAGTTCAATTCTTGGTCAGGATACATGCATAGGTTGTGGGTTCAGTCCCTGGTTGGGGCAGCCAAATGATGTTTCTCTCCCGCATTAATGGTTCTCTCTCTTACTCTCTTCCACTCTCTAAAATCAACGAACATATTTTGGGTGTGGATTTTTAAAAGTTATATATATAAATAGAGAGAGACAATTATATACAAGTGTTAATAGGCCCTGGCCAGTTTGGCTCAGCGGTCAGAGCGTCAGCCCGCGGACCAGGGAGCCCTGGGTTCGGTTCCCACTAAAAACACATACCTCGGTTTCAGTTTGTCCCCGGCGCCAGTTGGGCTTGTGTGGGTGGCAACCACTCTATGTGTCTCTCTCACAGCGATGTTTCTCTCTCTCTCTCTCTTCCTCCCTCTCTCCCTTCAGCTCTATCTGAAGATGAATGCAAATATGTCCTCGACTGAGGATTAAAAAAAAAAATGTTAACAGTAATTATCTCTGGGAAGAGATGTGAGAAGTTGAAATGTAAAAAGGTGGTTTTCACTTATTATACAGGGATGGGCAAGGCAGATGTAAGTTTACAGTTGCTCATATGGAAAAAAATACAAAAATAAATGAATAATAATACAAGAGTAAACCCTGTTTAGCATATTCACCAACTATAAACCTACTTTTGCCCACCCCTATATGTACACCATATTGTTTTAATTTTTCAAGAATATCAATTTATTCTGTAGTTTTAAAATTTGAAATGTTGATTCTATTTTTTCAAAAAGATGAAATAGACTTACATAGAATTCAAAGAAAAATCAATGCCATTTTGGCCACTAAAGACCTACTGATCCAACAGAAATAATACAATTATCCTATTCTATAAAATAAAAAGTAATAGTGGTAAAGAAACAAAAATGCTCATAGCAACTGTTGTCACCCATTGCTCAACATTCACTACTTTGATTATACAATATTAGCCACCAGGGGGAGTGCCCTCCCCCCAAAATTATACCCACTCTAAACACCAACCTTCTTTTCAAATTTAACCTAATATAAAAGGTTAGGCTAGCAGAGCTAAAAAAAAAAAAAAAAAAAATCTTAACACAATGTTTACAATAGTCCACAAGTTATAAAAAATTAGGGGTTTGGGGGGTTTTATTGTAACACCATAATACTCAGTTTTATTTTAATTTTTTATAAGAATTACACACACACAAACACACACACAAAAAGTTACATTTTACTGGGGTTCATGTCTTATTTCCTTAAGAGAAAAAAGTTTCCCAATCTGAAAAGCAAACTGCTGGACAATCAATTATATTATCATTTTAGTGGAGTGCTCATATTTTCCAACTGTTTTCTCATGACAACTATGAAGTTAAAAAAAGTAAAAATAAAATTTTATACAACTTTGACTCCTGAAAAAAGAGGACGGGGACACAAACTATAGTCTGAAAACAGCATAATGCCAAATAAAAATAATGTCATATAGTTTAGCAAAACAAAATATGACTGAACATCTTTAAAAGTTAAATTTTTGACTTCAGCATCTTAAAAACTAATGCATAAATAACCAAATTTATTCTAAATTTTCTTTCAATTTTGGTTCTTTTTCCTAAAAAGTATTAGAAGTCACATTGAAATGGCCAAAATCACCATAAATTAGGGAAGAAAAACAAGCAGACAGACAAAAAACACTGAGCAAATTACTTTGGAAGGCAGGATTTTTGTTTCATCTAGTTTATGAACCTATAACATAGTCACAAGTATTTTTAAATATAGTGTATATCTCATTTCCCACCCTCCGCTCATCAGGCTACTACTTCTCTCTCCCCCACATCCTTATTAGTTTTACAGTATCATCTCAGAATTCCTTTATAGTTAGAAAAGCAAACACAAGTTCATATTCATATTCCACCCCTCCCTTAACACATAGAGTATCATTCACACTGTCCTATACCTTTTTTTTTTTTTCCACTTTCTAACATACTTTGGAGATCTTTCCATGTCAGTACACAGAAAGCTTCCTCATTCTTTTTATCACAGTTGATCATGACTAGTTCTACCACAACTTGCATCATCTTTCTTCAGGCTAACCATTAATTCAGTCAACTACTTAACACCTGAGTTACGTTCCCCCCCCTCCCAACAAGATTTTAAAACAAACCAGATTTGCACGGTTCCCGCGAATAACTTTCAGAAAAAGCAACTCATATCTAAATTACATCCTTTTTAGAATGTCTGTTTTTTAACCAGGCAGAGGAAAAACATTCCACAATTTTCTCCTCTTATCACTTAAAACTACAAATCATAACACAATGTTCAAGTGAAATTACCTTTGTTTTGTGGGGGAAGAACTCGGGGGATCGGTGTAATAGACAAATCAGCAATGACAGTAAAAGTTTCCTTATTTCTTGTGCTTTTCTTTCACTGTAAAAGAAAACACTGATTGTTTTTTCTTTCTAAGCCTTAAAGTCGCAGAGTGTGACATACTAATAACAAGAAACCATCACCTGATTCGGTCTTTCACCTGCCTGGTCAGAGGCCTAGCCTTTTATCTTTAGGGATTCTACTGACTACATCAACAGGACCACTTCTACACCAGCAAAAACACTCAAGACTATAAGCTCTGCGGCGCTACGCATTGGAAATTTCACACCAGGGGCCAGAGCGCCTGGACCAGCTACAGAGACTCCGGCTTCAAAGGGGTTCGAGGAAGGAAGCCCTCGCGCCGTGCCGGGAGCCCTCGAACCCGCACAGTCGCTCCAGCCAGACGGTTGGCGCTGCGCTCCCCAGGGACCGAGCCCGGAACCACGACCACTAACGGAACCAGCCCAAGGGCGGCGACAGCCGCCGCTCGGACTGCGGCGCGCGGGTCGGGCGTCGGGAGGGCGGGGGTTCCTCCCGAGGAGTTGGCCGCCCCGGCGCCCCATTGGGCGCCACTCCAAACGTGCCCAAGTTGTGACAGGAATAAAGTGGGTCACAAGGCCTAGCGGGACCCAAGCAACAGCCCTTTCGGCACCAGGTCTCTGGCTTTCCCAGCTGCTCTGCCGCTGGAATCCGGCCCCAGCCCCCGGGCGCGCACCAAGCCACCCGGCCCCGCCGTGCACCCCAATCCCGCCCCTGCCCCGCAGGTAACCCCAGCTGCCCGAGAGGGCCCCGCAGACAGGGCGGGCCTCCACCCCAACTCCCAGAAAAAGACACGGTACAGCGACAGTCAAAACTTAGGCTTCAGCTCCCGCCTTTCTCTCCCTTGGCCGCCGCCCCCAACCCCACACACGCCGCCCCCCGCTCCCTCCTCTACCCCGCGCCCTCACCGTGTGCCTTGCCGTGGCTCCGGCTTCTTCCCTCCCCCACCCGGGAGTCTGGTTGCGGTGACTCGGAACCACTAACCCTGCAGCGTCCAGGAGACACTGCGGCTCCCAGCACCAGCTGCACAAGGGGCTGTGAGTGGCGCCCCCAACCCACCCCCAATAAATTCACCGCTACTGCCGCCCGCTCCGCCTCCCCCTCCCTTCCCTTCCCCTCCTCCACCGGCACGGGGAACACGCATGCGCCGCCCAGGCAAGCCTACCCGCGGACGTCAGACCCCGGGCCCACTCGTTGGGAAGCCACTCACCGGGAGCGCGCGCCGCGTCGGAGGCCAGATTTCCTCCGTGCTCTCGCTCTCGGGGGTTTCCTCCTTTAAGCCGGTAGCGGCAAACTGTGTCTGTGATTGCGCTCCCTGCTGGCGCATGCGTCGTCAGTGACCCCGCGGGCTCCGATGGCCAGCGCTGGGCGTTCGCCCCTCCCCTCACTCTCCCTTTCCCCAGTGCGTCTCCTTGCGCATGCGACTTGCCCCGTTCGGCATCGCGCGAGGGGATCCCGGGCTGCGGAGGAGACTCCTGTTCCCTTGGGCGGTGTGTTTGCTCGGCCCGCGGCCGCCGCCAGGGAAGGAGGAAAACCGGGATCTTCCTGGCGCCCTCTTCCCCGCACCAGTTACTGGAAAGCCGGGGAGAGGCGGGGCCTGGTCGCTGGAGGGTGCGGCCGGTCAGAGGAGCGTCAGCGTTGGGTCGAGGCGGCTTTGGCTTTCACCCTGGATGCCGGGAGCAAGAAAACGAAGAAAGAGCTTCCTGCCGGATGAAGGATCCAGAGGCCAAAATGGGAACCCTGTGTGCCTTTTAAAAAAAAGAAATCACTGCAAACGTCAGGGAAATCCCGCCCCCCCCCCGCCCCCCCCAGGGGACTCGCGTTTCCTCTTCTGGGGCTGAGAGAGGTGTTTGCAAAGGTGACTGGACTCCTAGAGACACTGCCCTTATCCCTCTCCCCGGGAGCACGGCTTGGGTTGCTTCTTATTGGTGGGGAGACAGGACAGGCGCCCTAGACTGGAGTGAGGCAAAAGGAGGTCAAGATGTGTTCATTTGGAGTTTTTCATTTGGCCTTTAAACCTTAATCCTAACCCTTCCTTGGCCTCTGTTACTTGTTTCCTGATCCCAGGCAGCCCAGGTAGTGCACTTCTTCTACCTCTGTGACTTTCTAAATAAACTTTTGCTTGCATTTGAGACTTGGTCCTGAATTCTTTCTCAGCTAGAACTCAAATACAGGGGTTGCTGAACCAAGGTCCAATCACCAGGAACGCTGGTGTGGTTTCTGTTGGTAGCAAAACATTTAAGGTCAGGTTATAGTATAAAGGAAGTTGGAGGCAGTTGTGGAGGTAAACCAAGACCCTAATTTGCAAAGCTTTCCTTGCTAGAAAAATATGAGCATACTTCCTGCTTATCTTAGGGGGAAATTACTCCACTCCCTTTGATTCTTAAAACACACTTGGATTACATGGAAAAGCACATTGCAGTAGTTGTAAGTTAGGAGAAAAGAGGTCTTTAAATCCCAATTCCTACTAGTTTTCATGTTTTAATGAATGTCCTTTTGACTTGAAATAAAAGCCATCTTCTTATTTCAAAAAATAACTTTTAGCTATAAAATTCTCCCTTCAGGTAATATTCATCTCATTAAATATTTCAAATTATTGCTCAAATTGTATGCCCAGAGAGGGGGGAAAAAAAAACCACATAAACATTGAACTTCTTCAGATTCCTGATCTTTCACCTGAGGGTTTTTCAGTGGAGAATGGGAAAGCATGATTTGTTTGCTTACTCCATCATATAGCAGAAGAGATTTTAGTACACATTTTTGGCTGCTCAGCATTCATTCCCTATTCTGATCATTTCTTTTGGAGAACTGCCCTTTCTTCAATCTCAGTCCATATGGCTGAAATATAGTTGAGTTAATCCTCTACGTTAGGTTGGAGTTACCAAGAATGGCTCTCTCTTTTCCAGTGGATTTAATTCTGGAAAAATGGAGGCCTGAAACCATCTTCCCACTGAGATTCTGAGAAAGAAGTAACAATTGGAGAAAAGGTAGATTTCAAAGATGGAGATCTAGCCTGAAGACATGTTTGATGCCATGAAACCAATGTGGACTAGATAACTCTGGAAGTTTACTTCAATTAGTCAATAAATTCATGTGTTTGTTTTACTGCTTAAACCAGTGAGAGGTTTTCTGTCACTGGCAATCATGAATCCTGATACTGGTAGCAAGAGAGGAATCAAGTTTCATTAAACTGTAAGGTAGGTTGCATCCTATCTTATCAAGAGGGTTTGAATGTATTTCCTAGGATTTGGATGTCTGACTTTTATGCTAGAGAAAGTGATCCCTCCTCATATAGTGCATCATTTAGAGCACATACCTTCAAAAATACCTTTGCCCTTTTTAATGGTTCCACTGTCCTCTTAGTCACCAATATCAAATCATGTTCATCTTTGACTCTTTCCTCCCTCACCTCCTGTATTTAATCATTTACTAACACCTGTTGATAATCCTCTTTTTTGTGCCAGTCCTCTGCTACTGCTTGAACATTTCCCATGGTTCAGTTCACAACTTATACTTTCTCCCCGTGTTCTCTCCAAGAACAAAACTGGGTCATATTTGTAATAACTATTGCAACTTCCAAATTCTACTGTTCCCTAAAACAAAAATCCTGCCTCATAGTTTCATAGATCCTAAATTTGTCCCCCTGCCTAAATCCTTTCCTTTAACACAATTTATGGAATTAAAATATTCTGTTCATTCCTTTTTGTATGCCCTGTTATGTAAAATGAGCATTTCGGCCCTGGACGGTTTGGCTCGGCAGTTAGAGCGTCAGCCTGTAGACCAAAGAGTCAGGGGTTTGATTCTGGTCATGTGCACGTACCTCGATTGCAGTTCATCCCCGGCCCTGGTTGGGGTCATGCGGGAGGCAGTCAGTCGATGTGTCTCTCTCGCATTGATATTTCTCTCCCTCCCTTTTTCCCTCCCACTCTACCTGTATCCTCGGGTGAGGATTTAAAATAAATAAATAAGAATAAAATAAAATGAGCATTTCAAACTCCCATCCCAATAGATTCCCCCACTTGATGTCTTGATACAAGCATTATAGCATAGTGGTTAAAAGCACAGAATCAGAACTAACCTGCCTCCCCAGGGGCTGAAGCTGAGGTGTCATGAGAGGCCAGTGGGACTGCTAATTGGGATTTATTGGCTCTAAGATGGCAGCAGATTATGTGGGAAAAAACTACATAATGATAAGAATAGCAATCCAATGAGAGAATATAACTCTTAAAAATGTTTACGCACCCAACATAGGAGCACCTAAATAGGTAAAGCAAATCTTGATGGACATAAAGGGAAGGATTGACAGTAACACAATTATAGTAGGGGATTTTAACACCACTTTGACATCAATAGATAGATCTTCCAGACAGAAAATCAACAAGGAGATGGCAGCCTTAAATGACACACTAGATCAAATGGATTTAATCGTTATGTTCAGAGCATTTCACCCAAGGGAGCAGAATATACATCCTTTTCAAGTGCCCACAGACCATTTTCTAGGATAGACTAAATGTTAGGACATGAAACAAGTCTCAATAATTTTAAGAAGACTGAAATTATATCAAGCATCTTCTCTGACTATAATGCTGTGAAACTTAAAATCAATCACAAGAAGAAAACTGAAAAACACAAACATATGAAGGCTAAGTAACATGTTACTAAACAGTGAATGGGTTAAAAACGAGATCAAAGAAGACATTTAAAGATACCTTGAAACAAATAAAAATGAGAATACAACAACCCAAAATCTGTGGGTCATGGAAAACAGTCCCAAGAGGGAAATTCATAGCATTACAGGCCTGTCTCAAGAAACAAGAAAAAGCTCAAATAAACAATCTAACTTTAGACTTAAATGAACTAGAACAAGAACAACTAACAAAGCCCAGGGTGAGTAGAAGGAATGAAATAATAAAGATAATAGCACAAATAAACAAAGTTAAAAAAAATATATAAAAGATCAATGAAACCAAGACCTGGTTCTTTGAAAAGATAAGTTTGACAAACCAGACTCATCAAGAAAAAAAGAGAGAGGACCCAAATGAAATCAGAAATGAAACAGGAGAAGTAACAGCTGAAACCAAAAAAATACAAAGGATTGTAAGAAAATACAAAGGACTGTAAGAAAATATTATGAACAACTATATGCCAATAAATTGGACAATCTGGATGAAATGGATAAATTTCTGGAAACATACAATCTTCCAAAACTAAATCAGGAAGAATCAGAGAATCTGAACAGACAGATTATAACTAGTGAAACTGAAGTAATAATAAAAAAATAAAATTTAAAAAACTCTCAACAAAAGCTCTAGACAAGATCATTTTACAGGTGAATTTTACCAAACATTCTCAAACTATTCCAAAAAATTCAAGAGGAGGGAATACTCCTAAGCTCATTTAACAAGGCCAACATTATCCTAATTCCAAAACCAGATAAAGATACTACAAAGAAAGATAATTATAGGCCAATATCCCTGATGAACATAGATGCTAAAATCCTCAACAAAATATTAGCAAACTGTCCAGCCAGTGTGGCTCAGTGGTGTTGACCAGTGTGGCTAAGTGTTGACCATGCACCAAGAGGTCACTGGTTCGATTCCCAGTCAGGGCATATGCCCAGATTGTGGGCCAGATCCCCAGTGGAGGGCATGGGGGAGGTGGTCAGTTGATACTCTCTCTCATCGATGTTTCTATCTCTCGCTCCCTCTCCCTTCCTCTCTCTCTAAAATCAATAAAGAAAAAAAAAAATTAGTATTAGCAAACTAAATCCAGCAATACATTTAAAAGATAATATACTATGATCAAGTGGGATTTATTCCAGGGATACAGGTTGGTACAATATCCACAAAACAATAAACGTGATCTGCCACATAAACAAAATGAAGGGGAAAAAAATCACATGATCATATCAATAGATGAGCAAAAGCATTTGAAAAAACCCAGCACCCATTTATGATAAAAACTCTCAGCAAAGTGGGAATAGAGGGAACATACCTCAATGTAATAAAGGCCATTTATGACAAACCCACAGCCAACATCATACTCAGTGGGCAAAACCTACAAGCATTCCCTTTAAGTTCAGGAACAAGACAGAGATGTCTGCTTTCACCACTCTTATTCAACATAGTACTAGAAGTCCTAGCCACAGCAATTGGGAAATAAGAAGATCCAAATTGGAAAGGAGGAAGTAAAACTATCATTATTCACAAATGACATAATACTGTATATAGAAAAGCCTAAAGATTCCACCAAAAAACTACTATAACTGCCCTGGTTTGTTTGGCTCAGCAGTTAGAGCA